GATACAATTTAAATTATAAAATAAGGTGCCGTTTGATATATATAACCTTACAAAAAAATTATATTTTATATTATTTATTTAGTTGTTTTAAATTCTATAATATTAAAAAAATAATTAAATATATCTAGTTAATATGAAATCTGTTGTGGATGATATAAGTGGTATATGCATAAAAATAGCAATTAATTTAAAAACCAATGTAAATTATACTAATATAAACTGTTAAAGTTTCATTTATTAATATTTTGTTGTAGGTATAAGTTTTTTTTTGTTTTTCAATATCTAAAAAATCTATAAAATATTAATTAAATTGAGTAAAAGTCTATAAAATATTCATTTTTTGGGCCAAATATAGAATATTAATTAATAATAATAAATTTACATTTTTATAAAAATATTGTGAAAAAAATTTATGCAAAATATAATCAATCAAAGCCTAAATAACTTTAAAAAAAGTGTAAATTTTCCCATAACTTAAATTTCTATCTTCAGTCCCTGTATATATAAAAGTTGATCCTACTCAAATCAAGCATGGAGATGGAGTAGCCTCCTTAAAAGCTTAAATGATGATGTACTTTTTGGTTCGAGAACGTAAAAGTGATTTCGATAAGCCTGTTAGTTTGAGGCTTAACCACTAATTAACACTTGATTGTATCTGAAACTGGGCAAAAAAAATAATAAAAAATGAAGGGGCAGAACAAGGCAACATCAGTTTGGGCCTACAAGCATTATTCATTTTTAATTAGGAGAACGAGAGGAAATGACATACTTGATGTCATGTAACATTTTAACTTTGCAATGACTATCGATATGATTTTTTTTTTATATAGGAAATTATAAATTTTATTGATAATTGATAATATATATCAATATCATCTTTTTTGGTAAAAGAAAAAACTGCATTAAACAGCACACAGATAATACACTATGGCCTGGGAAAACAGATTCCCATCATATCAGCCTCATAACACAAAATAAGTCTCGGAGGACAACAGTCAAAAGAATCAAAATCCACAGGTTATGAATGGCCACTGCAGTCAGATCATGCACACTGATTTGCTTCCCTGTATACATGTTGAATAATAGTCCGGGGGATTCTAAACAAAATCTCCCTGCAATACATAATAAGGGAGTAAAGAGGGATGATGAGATGAAATACAACTGGATAATAACTGTGCAGCAACCAAAGAATAAATTTCAACAATTAAGTTTTCGATGTTCTTATATCAATATCATCTTTGATATGTGCTTTATAAGGTAAAAAATAGTTACTTATAATATTAGCATATAAACATGCATTTTATATGAATAAGTCAATTAAATAGTATGAGTTTTTTATATTAATAAATAATATAAGAAAATTGACAAAGCAAAGAAAATTTACATTATTTAACCATTGATAAACCCGAATAATTGTATCTGTAACATGAAAGGGTTAGAGAGGAGCATAAAAAAGCGCTACTATTGTTTCCTTTCTTTACCTCACGTGCTATTTGATAAATAACTAATGAAGTCTCTGGTTAGTAATTAAGATAGAGGTTTTGGTATGTTAAACAGTTAAAGTTTATATTTGAGTCTTATATTTTACGAGTTATGGTTAAATTTTATTGTTATTTTTTAGAAGTAATTAAGTTAATATATGTTGTGATTGGTTAGATACTGATTGCTTGATTTATTGATACAATGCATCTCCTTTATATTTTTTTAATTAATTTTTTGAAATTTAATAATTATTTTTAATTTAATTAATCTAAAATTAAATTGAATCAAATTTCATTAAAGTACTTTTAGTATATTATAAAGTAAGTTGCACCAATTACGGAAAAAAGTATTCCATTATTAATGTATCCGAGAAAGAGACATCTAGTCTGGCACTTAGAACAGCCACAAAACTTCGCGGTATCTTCTTTTTGGTGGAAAGAGTGAGCCACAAAGTGACGATGTCACTTTTTCATCTGACAATGTCACCTTTTCATCTCTGTTTAACATCATAACAGCAAAAAACGAAAAAAAAGGAAATTTTTTTTTTTTTAACTAGGTAGGTGGTTAGAAAGTTAGTAGAGTTAGTTTGTTAGCAGTTGAAAATTTTTCAAGAAAGTGAACGTTCCATCCTCCTCATTTGAGGCATGCGACCATTAGGTTGCAAGTTGGTGGAGTTCACGGCAATGGCAGAGCTCGAAGCCCTGATGTCCGCTTCATCCAAACTCTAAAACTTTGGGGGGCCAACTAATTGACCACAGGCCCGGTTGGCGAAAAAAAGGAAGTTGAAATGCCAACATCCCATTACCCTCTGAGTCTTTGTCGGCATCTTCAACCAATGAATTTTTGCCAACAAGCTACACGATCAGTTACAATTCCCCTTTAAATTTGAATTTTTGACTTTTTAAACAGGTTAAGTCAGGTGAAAAATAATTTTTTAAACAGAAAATTCTTAATAATAAAAATTAATTAATTATTTTTATTTTTATTGTGTTCAAAGAGGCTGTCTTTGAAATTGTGGTTGTGGCATCAATTATTTTTGAAGTGCATTATCACAAAAATTGTTTTAGTACTTTTATAATTACTAGCATTTTGTACCTCTATGTGTCCAAGGGCTGTTTGTAATAAAATTTGTTTCTTAAAAGGAAAAACGAATATTAAAAAATTTAAAATAAAAAACATATTTAATTTGTTCAACTTTAGTTTTCTTTTTTTACATTGACTGAATTTTTTTCAACAAATTTTACTTTGACTTTTTAGCCTTTTAAATTTTCATGAGTCAAAGTTTCTATAATTGAGCAAATTGTAGACTGATCTTTTCCATGTTATAAGTTTCTTGGCAACTCATTTGGAATAATATTTATTGGGATTGCAGCTAACATGGACGTGTGACCCTTGATATTGCTTAGAAGGAAGGCTTTTGTTTTGTTGACCAATTGTCTTTTTATACACACTTTTCTTACATATGTTGATTGAAATTGAATATTGTTTTATAATTTAAATTATATTAAATTATAAAATAAAAATTATTAAATGATAGAAGATTTTAATATTAAAAAATTTAATTATTATTTAATAATTAGTATAATATAATTTAGTATGGTTTGTAATAGTGGTGTTCGCGGTGTGGTTTGGTTCGGATTTTATTATTTTTTAAATCAATCCAATTTAATCAGTTAATAAAATTTTTAAACAAATCCAATCCATTATTATGTGATAACCAAATCAATCCAATTTAAATCGGATCGGTGTGGTTCTGTCGGATTGATCGGTTTTTAACATTATTAAATATATAAGATAATGTAAAAATATTTTAGTATCAAATAAAAAGTATAACTATAAAATACATTAACATCCAAATTAGTAAAAACATCATAAAAGGTAAAAATTATAAACGAATTCTTAGATTTCTTTACATTTGTAAAAATTGAAAAGTTCTGAAAATTCTTCTTGATTACATTATTAGAGACACCAAAAACAATAAAAAATAACTTCAAATTTCTAGTACAGCGTAAATAATTCTTGAAGGTTAAAATTAATTTTTTTTCTTAATACACTAATAATTTAATGTCATTTTCTAAATTCTGTTAAAAGTGAATATCATTTAACATGAATATTACTAAAATTGATTAGAAGCATTCAAAATTAAAATTTAAAACTTCTAAATTAAATATCTAAGAATAGTTGAATATTAAGACTAATTTTATTATATAATTTTAAGGCTTTTAGAATGATA